CGGGCGCCAGCGGCGTTGTCGAGGGAGGTCCCGTGGCCAGTGAACGTTTTTTCAGTCCTTGTTTTGCCGATCGGCGCGGGCCCTCGCACCCCCCTCCCCCCCCATGGAGCAGATCTTGGCTGTTGTGGGCGCCCGTTTCGAGCAGGTGGGGTCTCCCCCAAAAGGGCGCACCGTGGCAAACAGTCGCGATGAGCAGAGGTCTGGAGCCAGACAGGCCCCCCTCCCCGCACCCCTCGAGCACCCCTTCCGCCCAATGTCGAAACGCCAGATCAGAAAACGCTCACCAAAGGGACCTCTTCGCGCAGCCGGGCGTGGGCCAGCTCGGCCTCGAGGTCGGCGGCGTCGTCGCCGTCGGCCGGGCCGGGCGGGTGGCCTCGGCCGCCCTCGGCGCTGGGGCGCGGGCGCCCGCGGAGGGCATCGCCGACAGCGAGTTCCGCGTCGACCTGGCCGGCTCGCACAGAGGCCGCGCGCGGGTGCTGCGAGTGCTCGAGGGGCTGGGTCTCGGCATGAGCGAGGCCCAGACACGATCGCGTCGTAAAAGAGTCAGGACGGGAGTTGTTTGCCCATTTACGGCCTCGGGGGGTCCTCGCCGGGCCTCGGGGCCATCAACAAGCGACTCGGGACGAAAAACCGGTCCCGGGGAAAGGGTCGGGACTTCCGGGGACCCCGCTTCGAAAAGATCAGGACGTCGCATGTCTGGGAATGGGCGCGGAAAAAATGGGCACGATGCCCAGCAGCAGTTCCTGCTCAGGTTGAAGAGGGCTCGCTGTCCGCGCCGCCGCGGGCGCTGTCTGTTCGAGACAGAGGGCCGCCTGCCCAGCAGCGACCGCTGCCGGTTTGGGACAACAGCTGCTGTTGGGCATCGCATCCATGCTTTAGGGGAAAGAAAGCTGCATGAACAGAAACCTCGGAGGTCCGCGCGGAGTTCCTGGATCCGCGCTGGACCCCCTCCCTGGCGCGCGGAGCGCGCCAGGGGGCGGCGCCGGAAGCGCCGCCGGGGGGCCCCAGCACCGATGGATGCGAGACATCCGCGAGGACCTCCGAGTTCTGATGCTTGCGCCAGTGGTCGTGCCCCCATGTTTTCGGGACCCACTCTGGGCGTCCAGAGGGTCCGGGTCGCGGGCGGGAGGCGTGAGGCCAGCACGCGGAAAGAAGGCTCCGGTCTTGGACGACAGTTGTTGCTGGCCATCGTGCCCGTGTGTGCCGTACCGATCCCAGGCGTCCAGAGGGCCCAGGTCGGAGGCGGGAGGTGTGAGGCCAACCCGCGGAGGCAAGGAGCACTCTCTGGGGCTCGGGAGAGGTACCCCCCCCCCACGCTCAGTAAGAAACCCAGAGTACCCCTCCAGGGCGTTCAGGGGGTCCAGGTCGCCCCTCGACCTCCATCTTCCGAACCTTCCGCGCAGCAGGTGCCGATGCGGCGCGGCCGCGGCGACCGCCGAGACCGCCGCCGCGGCCTCGACGGCGGCCGCACCTGCGGCCGCGCCGGCGGCGGCCGCAGCGCGGCGTCTGTCGCCCGGGCCAGGCGCGGGAGGTGGAGGCCGAGGGCGAACAGGTCTGGAGCCAGACGGGCCCCCCTCCCCGCACCCCCCGCCCCCTCGTCGCGCAGCCGGGCACGGGCCAGCTCGGCCTCGAGGTCGGCGGGAGGCCCACCCGCGCGGAGGCGGCAGAGGCCTCCTCTATTCGAGGTTCGGGAGAGGCTCCCGTCTTCGGGGCCCGACCTCGGGCCGCCTCCTCCTCCTCGGGCGCGGAGCCGGCTCGTGGCCGCGGGGCTCGCCGCGGCCGGGAGGGGGCAGGGTCTCGGGAGGGGGGGGAGAGAGAAGCACGCAGGCACGATCCCTCGGCGACTCCCAGGAGAAGGTGTGGAAAGATGGGCAGGGGGGGGGAGACGAAGACCGAGGAAGCACACGGGAAAATGTTTGGGGGATCCTGGGACTTGTGTGTGTATCTATGTGTGTGTCCCTGGGCCCCTTCAATTTCGTTCCTCATGTGGCGGTGGCGTTCTTGATGGCAGGACGATGGCTGTACCCACACAGACCTCCTCTCGACATGCAAAGAAAGCACGGCGGAGGCGTTTGCCAATGTTCGGCCTCTTGGAGCCCTCACCAAGCCCCGGGGCCGTCAAAAAAACATCTCGGATGAAAAACGGGTCCCAGGGAAAGGATCCAGTCCTCCAGGGGTCCACGTCGCGAAAACGCACGACGTCGGAGGTCTGGGTGTATCCACGACCTCGCGGTCCGGACTCTTCGACCGACTCCGAGTCAGACAAGCGCAGGACCGAGAGGCCTGAGATCCTGAGGGAGCTCCGTGAAAAAATATAACGCCGTGTTGTGGAGCCTCGAGCGCGCGCATTCGCAGAAGTGGCCGAGGGAGGCGTCGAGGGCACGAGTGACTCCACGAAAACGTAGACGCTTTTTCTGACGTGAAGGAGGAGGAGGAGGAGGAAAGGTAAGAGGAGGAGGAAGAGGAGGAAGAGGAGGAGGAGGAGGAGGAGGAGGAGGAGGAGGAGGAGGAGGAGGAGGAGGAGGAGGGGGAGGAGGGGGGGGAGGAGGAGGCGGAGGATGAGGAGGAGGTGGAGGAGGAGGAGGAAGAGGAGGAGGAGGAAAGGTATGAGGAGGAGGAGAGGAGAGGAGGAGGAGGAGGGGGAGGGGGGGAGGAGGAGGGGGATGATGGAGGAGGTGGAGGTGGAGGAGGAGAGGAGGAGGAGGAGGAGGAGGAGGAGGAGAGGAGGAGGAGGAGGAGGAGGAGGAGGAGGAGGAAATGCAGCGAATTATGAATGCGCGTGGTTTGGCGACGTGACGTGCCCCGTTCCCCTTCGGAATCGGCGCGGCCCGTCAACAAGAATCGAGTGGCATTGGCTCCATGCTTCGAGGGTACGCCTCCCGATCCGTGGATTTGGCGCCAGCGCGCTCCGACCCCCTCTACTCTGACCTCATCCGGGAAGCTTCTAAGCATGCCGGGTACAGGCAGCGCGACTTCGCGTCTTTGGCACGCAGGAGAGCGACGTGCAGCGTGGCGAGGGCAATCACTGCGAGCAGTACGACGGACGACGGCGGAACACAACACGACGTCTGGCAGCACAGTGGAGCGCAGCACGACTCCGTCATCCTTTACTGGGACTGAGCCACGCGCAGGAGGGGCTAGGGGGGAGGGGGGAAGGCTTCGTAGAACCTTGGAAGCACCCTGCTTCTCAGAAGGCGCGGGCCTTGCCTGTAAATGTGTGGCCAGCACCTTCTAAGAAGCAGCCCTCTTCTGAGAGGCCTTCCCCCCTCCCCTGCCCCGCCCTGTGCGCGCCGACACGGGGACGTGCAGTGCCTCGACCTGCGCGGCTGTGAGCCGCCAGCGGGTGGGACTTGCTGTCCCCCTCGTCTCTTCCGCCTTTTATTTCTCCGCCTATGTCGGCAAGGTGGGACGCTCTGGGGACAAGATGTGTCTATCTCAAAGCATGCGCCGTCTTGTGCCTCTTTACGCGGGGTCCCGAGAAGTGCCGATCCTTTCCCAGGGGCCGCTTCTTCCTCCTAAGTCGTTGTTCGACGATCCCAGGGGCCCTTGAGGGCCCCTGGAGGCCGAAACGGCCCAACAACCTTGCGTCAGAAAGTTTTGTTCGCGACGCGAGAAGCCACCCAAGGTAGTCCCTGCTGGCCCCAGCACGCCCCCCGAGTAGCCCGGGGCGGTCTCAACACCGTAACCTTGTGTCTCGGCGGCGAGCCCAGGGGGGGAGTGAGAAGGCGAAGGCCTTCTCAGAAGGCTCGGAAGTCCTTGGGCCTTCTGAGGAGTTGTCTGAGCCTTCCTCGAAGACGCAGAGAACTTTTCAAAAGGCGCGAGGGCTTCTGAGCAGTCCCGCCGCCTTCTGAGAAGTCTTCGCCTTCTCACTCCGCCCACCTCGCTCGCCGCCGAGTGTCGCGGAGCGCCCCGGGGGCGCCGCCGGAAGCGGCCCGGGGCTACTCTTAAGTCGGGCACGTCCCTCTACAGGGGGGAATATTCAAAAAATTACAGAACAATAGTTCGGGAACGATTTGTTTCAAATCCATGTTTTACGATGTGCGATTATATTTTGACCATGTTTTACTATTCCTTCAAAATCTGCCTGTAGGGGGACATGCCAGGCCCAAGGCTACTCAGTGGGCCTGTGGAGGCAGCAGGGGCTACCTGAGGGGGCTGCCTGCGCGCAGCCCCAAGCCATTCCATCTCCAGAACGTTCCTTCCGTAGGTCCTGCTCCTGCTGCTGCTGTTCCCTCCTCGTCCTCCTCATGCCTCATCCTCCGCTTCCTCGTGCGCCTGCTCGTGCGCATCCGCTACTTCCTCTTCCAATCTACTCAGCTCCCCTGTTGTGCCTGCGCACGACACAATGGGGTCATCCCGGGGGCTCCAAGTCCACTATGGCATGATATACAGCAAAAACATAGGAAGAGATGGTTTGGAGGGGTATGATGTCAGACATGGCGCGAGCGCACCTAGCATGTCTACCCTCTGGGTTTCCCAAAGGAGGGTCCGAGTAGATGGGATCGGAGGATTGCGCCAAATCGCCGATAAAGCGACGATGCGGCTAAATGTGGAGCCCGACTTGCTCCACGTCGACGGCGCCAATGCATCGCCGATGCATCGGCGATGCGTCTGCAATGCGGCGCGACCCTCCGACCCCATCTACTCGGACCCAACTTGAGCGACGCCACAAAACGGGATCGTCTTCACCGCCATTGGCGCGTAAGCTGCCCGCGTAAGGTCGCGCGTGAGCGCCCTCGGCTCCACCGGCGTGCCCCGCTGGCGGCCCGCGTAAGCCACCGCGTAAGGTCGCGGTGCCATCTCGCGTAAGACCCGCTTTGGGATCGTCTCTACGTTGGGAGGCCCCTGTCTGCGCCCCCCCGCCCTCTTCCTCCTCCTCTCGCCGGCGGCGGAGACGCAGGCAGCCCGCGTTCGGCAGCGACGCGGTGCTCGCACGCCGCCCGGCAGCCGCAGGCACTCTGTACGGCAAGGGCGTGTACCTCGCCGAGTGCTGCAGCAAGGCCTCCGGGGGGGAGGGGGGCCGCGCCGATGCGGCTGGATGCGGGGCCCGATCTTCACCACGCAGACGTCGCCGCTGCATCGCCAGCGTCGCCGATGCATCGGTAGTGCATCGGCGATGCATCGGCGATGCGGCACGACCCTCCAGGCCCATCCACTCGGACCCCATCTGGGAGGCCTCTAGTAGCGACCCGGATGTTTTATTTGCGGCGAGCTGGATCCGGCAGGCGGTCGTTTGACGGCGGGGCACGTCGGAAGCGAATTGGACACCCAGGGACAGGAAGGCAAGAGCGAAAGGGCAGGGGTAAAATGATGACCCAGACATCCAACCCATTGAACAAAGCAACACCCTTGAGATCCGACGTAGCGAACAAAAATGCAGCCTCGCGAGACATCACGACAAAAAAAAAAACAGAACCCATCTTTCTGCGCTGCTGCTGGAGCCAGATCGATCTGTGAGGGCCCAGGGACCTGCAAGTGGGCGAAAGCGCCCAGTGTGACAAAATTGCAACGCAAGGATCTCAGGGACGAGGCCACCTTGGAGCCCCGCTTTCGCAGCAAATTGGAATTCCCCCCCCCAAAAAAAAGGAGAGAGCAGGAAGGGAGCAGGAAGGATGGAGGAGGAGGAGTAAGGAGGACAAAGGAAGGGAAAGTGAGAGCGGGAGGACGGAGACGGAGAGGAGAAGGCAGCAGGAAAAGAAGGAAAGCAAGAGAGTAGGAGAAGAAGGACCGTTTTCGGCCTCCGGGGTGGGGCCTCCGGGGTGGGCCCCAGGACCACCAAAGAGTGACTCGGGACGAAAAGCGGGCCCTGGGGAAGGGGTCGGGACTTCGGGCGACCCCGCAATGCAAAGAGCAGGTGCTCCAGATTTCGTAATAAAAGGGAGGGGGTCTGGACCCTCCAAGACAAGCCATTTCAGACCCCCCCCCGTGGGAGAACCCTCCAAAACATCGTCCCCAGACCCCCCCAGGCCCTCCAAGATAGCTTGGAAGAGACCCCCCCCGAAATGAGACCTCCCTCCCTTTATTACGAAATCTGGAGTATCGCACGCATGCGCGCGTGGGATGTGGGGAGGGGGCACATGCGGGACCTTCTCGCCTCGTGGCGGAATTCGCGGGGGCCTCGGGTTCGCTTGAAAACGGCTCTGGATGATTTGGCTCTGCGTAAAAACGCCCTGGGCGTTTTGGGCCGCGTGTTCTTCTACGGTTGGCCTTTGACAGGCTGGCGACGCGAAAACGAAAATAACGTGCTTGTTAGCGTGTTAGGGTAAGTTGGCTTAAGGTTTTCTGCCGTCGAAAGATTCATAGATGGGGCGGAGGCTGAAACTGGTTCGAGACGCAGAACTAAAAACAGTCGAGTAACAACAAAGCGTCCTCCCACTGCTCTGACACTGGTGCGAAACAGGCCTGGAAGACCACGGCCCGTCCGCGGCGGGTTCGGACGATAGACGGACAACAGATTTGAAAACGCTGAGAGCAAAGACATCAAACATTCAACCATTAGTGTTTCTAGCGTGTCCTGCTGTCTTGTTGAGGCCCGGAAGCATTACAAGGTGATGTGCAAGAGGCCGGTTTGAACATGCAGAAGCAAAGTCCAGGGCATACGCAAGATGAACCAAGCAGGATGAGAAAGCCGGTCCTGGGGAATGGGTCCAGACCGTTAGAGGTCGACCTCATGTAAAAATGTGACGCCCGGGCCTGTGCATTGTCGAAGACGCAAATTGCATAATCACAATTTGTCCGAGCTCCGCGCGGATCTCTTGAATCGGTGTTGGGGCCTTCTGGCAGCGCCTCTGACGCCGCCCCTGGCGCGCTCCGTGCGCCAGGGAGGGGGGTCCAGCGCCGATCCAAGAAATCCGCGGGGATCTCCGTATGTTTATGTCGTTGTTTCTTCACCTCAGATTGCCCGGAGGCGACGACCCAGACATTTGTTTAGTCGCAACGATGGCGATGGCACACCGAGTCTGCAGCCTGAGCGGGAGCATTGCCAGACGAGTTGCACAGAACGGTGGGAGACAGAAGTGGGCGGTCGCGGAGAGGTGTTACGGTCGGTTCCATTGGCTTTGTATGGGGATCAGGAGGCTCCGGAAGGGCCGTGAGGGAGCCGAGAAGCGCACGAACACAGGTCCATGATTCATTGGGAAGAGACAGAAACACCAGGCCAGGGCGGAGCGTGGACCGGAGGTGACGCCGCAAAGAGGCACCCGACATCTTGAGAAACGTCGGGCGCAGGAGGTTGCGCCGTATTCGGCCTCCGCGGGCCGCCTTCGGGCTCTGCGGACTTTCAGCAAACGTCTCGGGGATGAAGAGCCGCCCCATGGGGAAAGGGTTGGGAGTTCCTCCTCCTCCCCGTCCTCCTCCTTACTCACTCACTCTCACGGTTCTCCTCCTCCTCCTCCTCCTCCTCCTCTTCCTCCTCCTCCTCCTCCTCCTCCTCCTCCTCCTCCTCCTCCTCCTCCTCCTCTATGACCCCGCATTGGAGACGTCATCAGGCATCGAATGTCTGGAGACATGGGGCGAGCGGTCGGAGGCCCTGTAGATGATCCGCCCCCTGCAGCCCCCGAAGAGTGTTGGCGGCCGGTCGCGGAGATCTGCACCGGGTGTGGCAAGGAGGGTGCGGAGCTGGAGCCGAAGAAGAAGAAGAAGAAGCAACGGCATGCACAGAAACGTCAGGAGCTCCGCCCGGGTTTCTTGGGATCGGCGCTGGAGGCTTCACGGCGGCGCCCCTCCGGCGCCGCAACTGCGCGCTCCGCAGGGGCACACGGGTGAGAACAACATGGCGTCGTTGGTCTTAGGAGTAATTGCCGCAAAGACGCGGTCTGTGCATGCCTGCACGGGTCTACAGTTGAATGCCAGGTCGAGGTTGCGGCGTCCAGTCATGGCCACGCTCCCCCCAAATCCATTCGGGCTCGAGTGGTTATAAGTTTTCACACGATGTATTATTGTTCGTTGCGTGTGCTCAGATTCTTGTTACGCACACAGAAGATGCAGAGTTGAATTGAACGATGGTTTTCGCGAGGGGCTGTCAAATTGCTTCTGCTTGCGCCGATCGCCAAGCACTTGACTTCCGTCTTATCCTTCGCTTTAAAGGCAGAGGCAGACCTCGATGCGGCGGAAGAGCGGCGAGCTCAAATGTATTCACACCTTGAATGCAGTTCTATCGAAAGCGGGGGACCTGAGTGGTGTAATGACAGCTTGCATCTAGTCGATTGGCAACGCACAGCTTCTGAGCATAACCAACAAGCTACTGAGAGCATGACGCGGCGATCCGAGGACCGCTTGTACAGTTTGTGCGTGTTGGTGAGTGCGCAGGCACTTCAATTGGTCAGGCCATGAGAGGGGAAGCCGCTTGCCATCAGATCCACATTCGGCAGGTCGACAGCTGCCACGCCCGAAGACAACTCAAGTGGATTACTTCTGTTCGTGACCCGCTTGCCCGTGCGACTTTTGTTTTCAATTGAAGAAATCCTCTGAACGGAAATTCGGAACATGGGGGCGAGTTCCAGCAAGACATGCAAGAGCAAGAGTGTTACCGATGTTTCCGAGAGGTCATTGAGTTTGTTGAGTCATTGCGAGGTTGGAGCGATTGCGTTAGCATTGCTCGCAGAGCGTTGGAACATATGTCATTATCGGAGCGGATTGGAAATGGTTTTTATTATTATGTTGAAAAAGAATGTAGACTTGCCTTCGGCCCATCCGGACACCGTGCCTGGGCTGTGGGTCTGAGTTCTCAAGGATGTTTCTGGGATACTCTTCGGAGCGCTTTCGGGGGCCTCTTGGGGGCAGTTTCGGGGCCTCTTGGGGACGTACCTCAGCGCCAATGGTAGACCGCTCCTTCAGGAAGCACTGAAGAAGGATTCTGAGATCCTGCGGTACCTGGAGCAAGCTGCCAGGAATGGACAGGCTGTTGGTTACATTCCAAGCTGATCTTCAAGCCCGCGCGCACTTCTGGCGCTGACTCCAGCCCTCATTTCCGGCTCTCACTTCCTTCCGCGCTCCACTTCTGGCCTTAGCTGCGCAACACGTACCGTGTTCAAAACGTCAGTGTTAACACGTTGCGTGTTGGTTCGGCAGGTGTTGGTCCACGCCTTGGCGGACGCATCGCGCCGGACCTACCTTTCCAGCCTGCGTGCCGAGCCCCGTGTCAACACGCTACGTGCCGCGTGCTGCGCATCGAAGCGGCTAAGCTTGTGGCACCCACTGGAAGGATCGCATGCCTCCAGCCCGCGCCGCGCTCGCTTCCGGCGCTCGGGGGCCCCCCCCGCGCGACGGCACCGCCCCCTGTGGTGCGTGATGCAGGCCTCGCTCCGCGCGGGCTCCGCGATCGCCAGGTAACACAGAAAGCCCACACTCGCAGGCCTGGAGGTTGACACCAACACCAAGGTCGGCGGTGTGCCTCCACCGAGGGAAGAAGATCCCGATCTCGGCGATGGTGGTAATATTATGGCTTCCAAGGTGGCCGAAATTTGACCACCAACACCGAAATCGAAGACCATCTTCCCCCTGTGGAGGCCCTCCCCCGTGTTGGTGTTGGTGCCAATTTCCAGGCCTCCAACACACTCTTCGCACGTGCCACGGCGCTCCACCTGCCACACCTTCCGACCGGCAGGGGGCTGGTCCAGTCATGTTCCCGAGGGGCACAAGACTGCCACAACAGAATCCAATGCTCAGAGCCGATCCACCTGATCCGAGCGGAGCTCCGACGGTTTGCGTTCATGCAGTGTGTCGCCTTTCAAGAAGAGCTCTTGAGTCAGCCACCTGCTGGTCGGAGGGTGTGGAAGGTGGAGAACCAGACTGCATAAAGGGCCGCATCTTTGACTCATCTTGCCTTGGGCAGAAGCGGGCGGGACGCCGTCGAAGGCCGACCGAAGTAAGACGGCCGCGGGTCTGCCGACGGAAGCTCGGCGAAGGGCGACGGAAGCAAAAGCGAGACGTCAACATGTTTGGGTTCAGGGCTCCTGGAGTTTTGGCCCTGTCGACTCGAAACGGTGTTTCTTGCAGGGTT